GGTGACAGAGTAAGTCCCTGTCTCAAACAACAACAACAAAGCCCAAAATAGAATACCTTCAGGGGATTTGTTCACCCAGGGGAGATACTGCTAGACTATCTCATGGAGTGGCCTAATTTGTCCCCATATATGAGCCCTCTAGTGTAAGTCATCATCTGCCACATTCTGGGACTATGCCCCCACTTCCAAGTCTTGGGTTCCGACCAGATTTGCCTAAGGGATGAGCAGAACATCTAGCTTTAGAGGGTTTTAGGTAACTTCACCCAGCTAATCCCACTGTGCCTTTAACCACCTCCCTCTTGGCCCCCTCCAACACTGATAATGCCTGTTCCCTGACCATTGGCCCCTCTGCCTGGCTCTGTCTCACTAGCAGGCCCATCCCCACTCTGTGCTCTGCCTTTCTTAGCACCCCTAAAAGGCCAGGCAGGAAAGGACGGGACAAGTTGATTATGACATCCCTTTCTAGCTCTAAGGAATTCAATAATTCTCATTTTCATCCCTAAAGACATTTACCAGCAGTTGTAAATGGGGCTTTCCTAATTTGACACTGAAAGGCCAGTAGGGCCCCCTAAGTCTTGAAGCCATTTTCCTGGTCCCAATCCAGCAGATTCCATCCTATTCGGTTTGGGGCATGTCTACAGTGAATAAGTGAATCATTAGCATTCACGTTTGTAGAGAACTTTGCCATTTGCATGTTCATATCTGTCATCTTATGTAAACTGCCAAACAGTTCTAGTTGTAGCCCTCTTTAGTTTCTATTTTCACAAAGTTTCTATTTCCCAAAGCAAAAAGAGGTGAGTTTTCATTTCTTTTTTTTTTTTTTCATTTTGGTTTCTTTTTTTTTTTTGAGACAGGGTCTCGCTCTGTTGCCCAGGCTGGGTCTCGCTCTGTTGCCCAGGCTGGAGTACAGTGGTGCAATAGTGGCTCACTGCAGCCTTGGCCTTCTGGGTCCAAGTGATCCTCCCATCTCAGCCTCTCCAGTAACTGGGACTACAGACACGTGCCACCATGCCTGGCTAATATGTTTTTATTTTTCATAGAGATGAGGTCTCACTATGTTGCCCAGGCTGATCTCAAACTCCTGAGCTTAAGCAATCCTCCTGCCTTGACCTCCCAAAGTGCTGGGATTACAAGCATGAGCCACTGCACCTGGCAGAGTTTTCGAAAACCTCCAGCTCTTGCTAAAAAAAGTTGGTGCTTTCTTAGTTCTGGTGGGTATGCATGTGTAATATTTAAAAGGCTCATAGATTTTTACAGTTCAGAAACCTGGATTCTGTCTGTCGTTAGAAATTCAATTACATGCCACAGACATATATGAGTAGTTCCTAACCTTTTAATTTAACCATTATTATGGATTTTCCCCCCCTTGGATCACATGTTATTTTCTTTTAAGTCCACCAAAAACTGTATTTATTGGCTCACTTTACCTTTTTTATTCATCAGACTTATACCTCCCAGTCAGAGTTTAGAATCAGGATCAGGTAGTCTCTTACCTCACTAAGCTGATTTTATTACAGCCAAAATAAAGACATTTGATATTTGAATTAGCTTCCAAACCTAACAAGTGCATTTCCATTTCTGCTGGGCTTTTTGAAAGATTAAAAAGTTCATGCGTTGACCCTTGAGAAAGTGGAAGCAAAGTTTAGTTCTTGTGAAGGAGTAGCCCTGTGTGTTCAGGGACTTCACTCTTGCCTTGTCTGTGATGTCTGAATGGGAGTAACGGGGATATTACTGACTTTAACCCTTTTCACTGTGATCTGGGCCTTTCTCTGGCTCTATAGGGACTGGGGATCAACCACCCCCACCCTAGTATTTCCTCAGCTACTGGAGTATTTGGGTTCTCAGTTCAAGCTCATAGGACTTGGGGAGAACATGCATTCATTGAAACAAAGACATTCCCCTAAGGTGCAAAAGTTAAAATGTCATGCAACCAGAACTATTACCTAAAATCAAAAAGTGTCCAATTTGGATTATACTCTCAAAGGACCATGATGAGTATTCTAAAGTCAGTGTTTGTTTCTAAATTAATAGAATTAATAAATGTTATTCTGTTTGCCAATTATAGAAGAAGAGATACAGTTGGGGGAAGACTATTAATGTAATATGGAATTGTATTATAATTGTATTACTTAGCAGATTGTATTGCATGAACCAATGAAATTTGATGCTGTAATTTAAAAATAATTATTTTATGGAAGCAAAACTGCTTATGAATAACATTAAGTGAAATGCAGAATGAATAACTTAGGTATGTAGACTCACAGCTAAGAAATATATATACATGTAGCTAATGGCTCGGGGTAATCTGCAGAAATGAAAAAAATTATATTAGAATGGACAAGGGTGAGTCTCTTTCAAAATATTTTTTGTATAAGTTGTTACACCTATCAGTTTTGCAATTAAAAGTTTAAGATGGATTTATATTGGCTCCAGTGAAGAATATGTGTTTTATTAACTAATACTGTGCTTGATTTTGTCTTATTTTATAGGAGTACCAGCAGAAATCCACCAATGTAGTCTATCAGGCCCACCATGTGAGCAGGAATAAGAGAGGGCAAGTGGTTGGAACAAGGGGTGGGTTCCGAGGATGTACCGTGTGGCTAACAGGTATGTCATGTTCAGATATATATATATATATGTAGCAAACTGACATGTGACACAGTTTTATGGAAATTAGTGTAACGTATTACGTGCTTGTTTTATCATTAGAAGGAGGCTGAGAGATGTAGTAGAAAGCCTGGATATTAGTCCTAACCCTACCATCAGTGAGAAATAGAGTCAAGGTCAACTATAGGAATAAGAGTCTGATCAAGTCAACTGTGAAAGTCTCTAGTTGTCACTTTTCTCCTCTTTGGCAGGAAAGGATGAGACAAGATGATTATGACATCTGCTTTCAGTGCTGAGGGATTCAATAATTCTCATGTTCATCCCTAAACATATTTACTGGCAGTTATGAATGAGGCTTTCCTAATTTGACATCAAGCATTTGGCTGTCCATAAGGTGTTGGATGTTTAGAGATATTTGTTATTGTTGCCTAATGTTTTGACATTCTAGGAGACTATTTTACTTACTATATAAACTAACAAACAAACTTAAGAATCTGCACAAGAAGGAAAACTAGTAATTTCCATTTGGCTGAGGATTGCCCTTGTTTATAGAAATAACTTGCTGTTGCTGAAGTGACTGAATGACTCTCCCTTTTCTTGTGTTTTTATAGCCACAGAATGTCAAAGCTAAGAATTAGTGACAGAACTGGAATTAAAACCTGATTCCCAGTAGCTGGCCCCAGGCTATTACCTTGTACTCTGAGTCCAAGGTAGACAAAATTATGTCTGGACTCAAAAGGAAAATCCAATTTCATTTCATAGATAACAGTTTTCAAATGGAATGAGCCCACCTGCAAAACTACATTTATTCAGGTTATAAAATGTTTTCTAACCTGAAGCTCATTCTAAACAATCTGGCAGCTAGGGACCTGCCTTGCATCTTTTCTTGCTATCCTAGGTCTTTGCCCTTTTCTGTGCCAACCAGCCTCATTCTTGTCCTCTTCAAGTTTTTTCCTTGTGCCTTTGGTTTCCTGGTTTCATTCATGCCTGGACTGTGCATCAAAGCAACTTTCTGCAGCCTCCAGTGCAAGGACAGACAGGGAGCACGGAACCTGCTGTGCTCAAATATGCACCATCCGTCTGTCATTACTCCTGAAATGTTTCCCTCAACTCCCCCCAAGAGACGTAATTGCAGCAGTAGGTACAGCTGTATTCTGGAAGACCCCCTCCTGTTGTATGTTGCCCTTCATGCAAAGATCACTGGTGAAAACAACTTTCGTGTTGGGCTATACACACAAAGTCCATTTTCTCTAATGTGATACCCCTTGAAAAGAAAAAGAGAACTGGTAGAAGAGAAACATGTCTTTCTCCTTCTGTACTCTTAAAATGAATTATCTTTTCATTAGAGGAAGAAAAGAATAGATGGCAAATTTTAAAAATCAAGGCCGGGCTTGGTAGCCCATGCCTGTAATCCCAGCACTTTGGGAGGCCAATTCGGGTGGATCACCTGATGTCAGGAGTTCAAGACCAGCCTGGCCAACATAGCAAAACCCTGTCTCTCTACTAAAAATACAAAAATTAGCCGGGCATGGTGGTGCACGCCTGTAATCCCAGCTGCTCGGGAAGCTGAGGCAGGAGAATCACTTGAACACAGGAGGCGGAGGTTGCAGGGAGCCGAGATCTGCCACTGCACTCCAGCCTGGGTGACAGAATGACACTCCATCTCAAAAAATAAAAATAGAAAGTTAAATTAAATTTAAAAAACATTTTTCTAATTTATTTTTTATTCTTATGTTAAAAGGTAGGCTGTTGACCAGGCAGACCAGAAGAAACAAAATATTTTAAATCCATAGACTCAGATTTTAGCCCCAACTGCACCTCCATGAGCTATGTGACTTTGGACAAGCCAGTTAGGCTCTCTAAGCCTCAGTTTTCTTATTTGTACAATGAGAATAAAGACAGTACCTGACTTACAGAGGGGTTGATAGAACTAAATCAATAAAAGACAAATGCACTTTGCACAGTGCTTGGCACACAGTTAAGTTATCAGTAACTGTAATTAGTGTTACCTTAATGTATGAAAGTATGCATGCCAACAATCTGGTTACATATACTTACTGTAGTTTAACTCTTAGTTTCCTGAGAACTGAAGCAAAATGGAAGGACATTTCTGTTATTTCTCTCATTTTCTGACATGAGAGAACACACCAGAGATTCAGGAGTGCCATTTCCCCTACCCTATAACCTGACATAAATACTAAGAAGAATTTATCACCTACGTCTTTATTCAAATGAAAAGGAATAACAGAATTACAGACAATTACCTTAAAAAATGATCTAGTGACATTAGTGTTGACACGTTCTTCATATAGCCGTTTCTTCTAATGGTCCTCTGTCAAAGCCAAGGGCATGGCTTTAAACTATAACTAAAAGTATGGAGACTATTTATTTACCTTTTGCAGATCACCTTTCGCCCCCAAATCTTCCTTCTTCTGTGTCCTTCATTCCTGCTTTTTCCACCTTTTTCCTCTTTTCTGCTGTAGTCTTCTCTGTATGAACGTCTTGGCTTTTTTCCTCTGTCATGCCCAGCTGCTGTCGGACGGAAGCTTGGCACCATGAAATATTCTTAGGTTCAGAGATCTTTAGGACAAAGATCCTAAAATCCTAAAGGACTCATTTTGTTTTAGAGTGCTAGCCTTTAGGGGAGTTCAGATTTAAACTGTTAAATAATTTGGGCGGGTTGTGTTTCTGTCCCTTTCTTCTTATGTTCCTCCTCATATGGAAATTACAGTGTGTTCCCGATCCTTGTGCTTTGAAACCGTGGTGAAAGCCACATGGTAACTCTTTTCTCATATAAAGACTCTAGAGAATCTTTACACCTAAGAGTGTGACATATGGCAGCTCTGAATACATCTGCTCCCTAGCTCAGGCCGGCTTTCTGTCTTTATGTTTTGAGAGTCGTTTTGGAAACATCTCGAAGCCAAAGGACAGCATGCGGGCTCTGTGAGACGGTTGTTCAGTGGCATCCACAAGGGAGGGGGACTTACCATTCTCCAGGGGCTGGCTGTTCCCCTGCATTCCGGCTGATTGCTGACTTTGAAGGGGATATGAGACCACTGTCACCACATCTTTTGATTTTTTCAAGAGAATACGGTATCTGGATTTGCATATACAACTTCCTTTGTGCTTTGGAGACAAGGCCTCGCTCTGTTACACAGGTTGGAGTGTAGTGGTGCCATCACGGCTCACTGCAGCCTTGACTTCCCAGGCTCAAGGGGTCTTCCCACCTCAGCCTCCTGAGTAGCTGGGACCACAGGTGTGTACCACCACATCCGGCTATTTTTTTGTTTTGTTTTTTGAGGATGCAGGGTCTCACTATGTTCCCCAGGCTAGTTTTGAACTCCTGGGCTCAAGTGATCCTCCCACCTTGGCCTCCCAAAATGCTGGGATTACAGGCATGAGCCCATGCCCAGCCTGTATGACAACTTTCTAATCTTTAAAACACTCTGCAGCCCTAACAGAACACATCGAGGACCACATGTAGCCCCCAAATCTCCCTATTTATGAAGCTTGCTTGCTTTGAAAAGCTATAATCCTAACACAGGACAAATAGTTATTTCAAAATTTGACAGAAATGTAAGTATTTGCCTTGTAGTCAACTACACTGATTTCTTTCCTTTCTTTCTTTCTTTCTTTCTCTTTCTTTCTTTCTTTCTTTCTTTCTTTCTTTCTTTCTTTCTTTCTTTCTTTCTTTCTTTCTGTCTGTCTTTTCTTTCTCTCTCTCTTTCTTTTCTTTCTTTCTTTCTTTCTTTCTTTCTTTCTTTCTTTCTTTCTTTCTTTCTTTCTTTCTTTCTTTCTTTCTTTCTTTCTTTCTTTCTTTCCATTTAGTTATATTTAAAATTGCTAGATTAGTTCACAATTTGTCATCTTAAACTATCCAGGCTGATGTCAGTCTGCTTTATCTGTTCTGAACAGGTCTCTCTGGCGCTGGAAAAACAACAATAAGTTTTGCCCTGGAGGAGTACCTTGTCTCCCATGCCATCCCTTGTTACTCCCTGGATGGGGACAACGTCCGTCATGGCCTTAACAAAAATCTCGGATTCTCTCCTGGGGACAGAGAGGAAAATATCCGCCGGATTGCTGAAGTGGCTAAGCTGTTTGCTGATGCTGGCCTGGTCTGCATTACCAGCTTTATTTCTCCATTCGCAAAGGTAAAAAAAAAAAAAAAAAAAAAAGGCACTGCACACTATTCCCACACACAGTGCTAGTGCTCTCCAACTGCTAGGGGAAGGAATCAGGTAGGGTGGGCCTAAGAATGTCTCCTTTCAATTTCCCGACTATTTCTTCCCCCCATCACAGGCTCTCTCATTTCCTCTATTTAATATTGGTTACGTAAAGAGAGTTCCTTCCTTTCCAGATGCCAGGGCACCAGTGGACATAAATCCTTCCATGTTCACAATTATAAGGAACATTTGGTCAGAGTCGAAGGGAAGAGAAAGTTAAACAAGAGAAACTCTAAAGCTCTGTAATTTTAGTTGTCAGGAAAAGGATCTAGCTAAAGAAAAGAGCAGTTCACAGCCAAAGCTTCGGGTTCTACGTGTTTAATGCTGACATCACTGAGGTGGAGTGTCGCTCTTCTTTTAAGTCAGGAAATTTCTGGGAGCCAAACATCAGATGTAGCTTAGAACACATCCTTTGAATGCAATGCTCCCATATGGCCAGTGCTTTCCTGCTAGGAGGGCCTATTTTCCATCATTTTCTGTGAAAGTCCTTGAGAGAGCTGTGTTTACCAGAGTGAAATTTCTGGACTTTCTCTCAAGCACTCTGCAAAGCACAAACCCCAGTGTTATCTCAAGGCTATTGAAAACCAAAGTACACAGTGTTTTGTGATTTAGAATTTCACTATGAAACCTCTTTTTACATTCTTAAACATATTGCTTTTCAGGATCGTGAGAATGCCCGCAAAATACATGAATCAGCAGGGCTGCCATTCTTTGAAATATTTGTAGACGCACCTCTAAGTATTTGTGAAAGCAGAGACGTAAAAGGCCTCTACAAAAGGGCGAGAGCTGGGGAGATTAAAGGTAAGAGAATCGGCTAGCAGCATCTTTACCAGTTACTTAGGCTGTCGGTCCTTATTTTGTCCTCAGAAATCTGCCTTGAGTTTCAAACTCTCTTTTCCAAAATTGCATATAACATGCACAACTTTTTATCGCATCATGATATATTCAATATGCCCAGAGGCTTATTAAAATGTAGGGTTTTATTTTTAAGAATTGTCATCTCAGCCATATGCAATGAAGTTCAGAGAACTAGAATGGATATTTATATGTGAGTGTGTGTGTAGAGGAGTGTTTCAGAGTTCTTCCTTATTCTTGTCTTCCTTTTTGATTTTGATCATCTATAGAGGGCTTCAACTTACCCAGCCAGATTTTGTTGACAATTTGGGGCTGTCCATGTTGAAAATACAGCTATTTATTTTCTTACTTATGGCTAGAAGTCAAGGATGGCTGTTTGGCCTTTTCTGTTAAAATGTGAATTTTCAGTTTAATACATTATTCCAACATGTGTTTTGCCTTATTGATTAAAAAGGTTATTCTGTCAATACAGATGTGATGATTGTCACCCATATGCCTTGCAGGATTTACAGGTATCGATTCTGATTATGAGAAACCTGAAACTCCTGAGCGTGTGCTTAAAACCAATTTGTCCACAGTGAGTGACTGTGTCCAGCAGGTAGTGGAACTTCTGCAAGAGCAGGTAGGTGAACCGGTTGTCTTTTCTTTATATGTTTAATAAAATCATGAAAGACAATCTATGCCTCCTTACTGAAGCATTCTTTCTATAGTTTTCATTTCAAGTTTTTACCAATTCTGTTTCATTTCAGAACATCGTACCCCATACTATAATCAAAGATATCCACGAACTCTTCGTGCCGGAAAACAAACTTGACCACGTCCGAGCTGAGGCTGAAACTCTCCCTTCATTATCAATTACTAAGGTAAGTGGGTGCAGACTGGTCAAAGAATTAGGCTTAATATCAGTCATTATAATTTATTTATAATTACTCTTAACAATAAAAAAGATATAAATAAGGTGCACTTAACGTCCACAAATAAAACACTCCTTTTTTGCCAAGTGTTTTTAACTTCTTCTCCAAAGAAATCTTTCACCAAGAATTGCCACATGATCAATGCCATGTATGGAGGTGACTGGGAAAGTAACTTCTGTATTTGCATTGGACAATTTTACATAGCTGTCATTGTACCAGTAAGTACATCTAGTAGAAAAATATAGCCAAACCAGGATTTTTGTGGATAAAAGAAAGAAAGAATAAACGATGAATTTTCAACTCAGTTGCATATTTTGGGAATAGATACAGCCTAAAAATGTTCAAATAAGTCATCTCAATATCTCAATATGAAATCTTTTCACCACTATTTCATAAGTAAATTTCTGAACTTAAATCTTTCTGGCCCTTAGATCATGGGTTAGCATAACAGTTGGGAACACTTAAAACATAGAAGATTCTGCCCTTATCCTCTTGTTAACTGAATAAGAAAGGACTTTCTTGGGGCCAGATGCCTGGAAAACAGAACTTATGAAAATGTTCAACTGCTTTTTGTGTTTTGCAGCTGGATCTCCAGTGGGTCCAGGTTTTGAGCGAAGGCTGGGCCACTCCCCTCAAAGGTTTCATGAGGGAGAAGGAGTACTTACAAGTTATGCACTTTGACACCCTGCTAGATGGTATGTTTTTGTTGTTGTTTCTTAATCTTTGTTGTTAAAGGAGAAAAAGAATCTTTCCCAGAAGTTTTGCAGGAACAGGAAGTTAGTCTTTGGTTTGCAAATGTTATTGCAAAACTATTTGGATCATTTACAGTGTGCTCCATTCTATTATGTTTAAGCTTCCATTTTTAGGATTTTTTTTTGGTTGTTCTCAAAGATTGTTCCTTTAGAACTAAGGAACTGAAAAATGGTTCTTAAGCCAAGAAAAACACAAGTCTGTTTCACCTCTACTTGCTCTTTGTTGGTGCTGATATTCAGAAGGTAGCACTCAGAAGTACCATTGCCACCTGCTAGGGACATTCCTGGGGCAGCCAAGATGAGGTCAGCACATGTTCCTGACCTCCATGGCACCCGCCACCCTCCAGGTTGCTCGTGTCAAGCATTATTGCAACAACTGCTTTCTTTGGTGCATGCTGAAGTATCAATGCTCATGCCCACACATGAAATATATTAACATGGTTTCATCCACTACACCCTAACAAAAGAGCATTAAGGCAGCTTTCTGGCCACAAGCTGAATGGCTTTTAGAAAAGCGATTTGGTCAAGCTCAAAAGCATGTGTTATTGAGAAGACTTCCGGACCCTTCTATGATCATTTCCTTCCTAGAACTGCCTGAGCTCATCAAATAAACTCATCTATTTCAAGACCTTTGGGGAATGGCTGCTAAGTGGGGAAGGAGTAGGGGTAGAGTCACACTGAATTTGTAATACTGAGCCAGGTTCCAAGCCTTTTAGGAAGAAAAATCAAATAAGATGTTTGTTTTTGGAAAAGATATTCATGTCCTGTGTTTGTGCCTTTGCCTGGGGAATGGGGCATGAACTCAGAATCAGAACTCAAAGACTGATCAGCATGGACCCTCTTGCCTTATTCTTTTGCTGTGACAGATAACACTCCAAAACCTGAATCCTCACTTCTCAGATTAAATAATATTCCCCAAAGACACTTAGTTTACTTCTAGCTTGCTTTAACAACAACAATAATAATCCATATCTCTATACCACGTCTCTGTTTTCAAAGCATTTTCTCGGGCATTATTTCATTTGATCCTCACAAAAACCCTAGAAAATAGTTAGCAATTATT